TTTTATTTTGTCTTTCACTCCCCTTCCCTTACTATTGTAAGCCGCCCTGAGTCCCCTCAGGGAAAAGGGCGGCCTATAAATGCTAAATAAAATCAGAAAAAAAAATCAGAAAAATCAGAAAACTCTAAGCTAAGTGGAGAGAGGAGTGCCAAAAGAAATATATTTTAATAGCATGCGATTAGCCCACAAATAAATCACCTACATACTTTTCGTCTTTCATAGATTGGTCAGAATTTTACAGTTTTGTCTACAAGAAGTGGTAGAAATTTTTTTTTGAAGTCATTCACTAAACAGTGATCTGTCAGGTGCTTAGAATAGATCATCTTAACAGATCATCCAGTTCCCTGCAGTCTAAATATTAATTGAGATAATTGTGTAGTTGGATTGGGGATATAAATTACTGAACTATCCTCACTGCGGATGTTGAAATTACTCAGTAAAGATAGTCCAAATTGTCCCTGAGATTATCTTACTAGAAAGAGTAATATAGTTACAAAAGAGTGGATAGTATACCAACAGAATCCCTGCATTGTCCCTGTATGTAGCTAACCTATATTAAGAATTAATGAATTGCTAAATGGAGCATCTGGTCATTGCATTCATGTATAGCATATCCATCCTAATACCTATCCAAGTTGCCCAGCGTCTAGTCTTTAACTGCTACTCAGTGGAGGAACCTGGTAGACAGAACTCTTAAGAGAATTCTCCTTAACTTTTACTTTTATGTCTCAATCACACATACTTTGTTTGCATGTTTGGATTAAATCCTAAAGAAGTAATGAATAATTATAGGTCAAGAAATTTGTGTACTTTATTGATGTAATTTTTTAAAAATGTTTCTTAATACAGAATGACAAACACCAACAGATCTCTGGAAGACTAGAAGATGTTCGTAACAGAAAACAAAAGCATAAAAATGAGTTTGCCAATCTAGAAAAGAAATGTGATATGGGAATTATTGAACTCAAGCAATTGGAACAACAGCTTCAAGTATGTGATATTTTGATACATCTGGAATTCATTCCCACAAATGATGGTCAATGCAGAGAGGGGAAAAACATTGAACTTACTTGTCTATTAAGGCTACAGTCCTGAGTGTCCCCAAGTTTCTTTGTTGTTGTTTTTCTTCAGAAGATTGCCTGTCCTCTGCTATCCATTCTCTTTTTGTTTTTTCATTTTCATATGCACAGTTCGGTTCTCTGGAAGGAACAGATTACTGTAGTCCAATATCAGAATTGAGACCTTGCACCTTCTTTGAAATTAGGTTCTGGACAGCAGGTTCCTCATTCCTACTCTCAGCCCTAATACAAAATGTTTGAGAAGCCTGACAAATTAGGTTCTTATGATTCCTGATCTCTGACTGCTGCTTCAAGCACACAGAGACAGACGTTCTACAGAGCAGGGACAATATGAATCACTGATAATCAGCCCAGAAGATATCAGAGGCTCCTAAGATCTTCCCTAAGCAGGAATGTTTATCCAGCTTTCTTAACAAAGAAGTTGAATTTATGACAATTTTAAGATTTTTAAGAGATTCGTTTTCCTTTCATGTCAGTTGCAGATCATAACCACAAAAACTATACAAAGCAAATAAGGAAAACAAGAATGTAGCACAACCATTTCTTTTTAAAAATATGCTATAAGGTTTTGAGAGTCATTTTGATGTAGTATAGCACCAGGCTAGAAATCAGGAGACAGTGATACAGCCATAGGTACAAAGCCAGCTGGTGACTCTAGGCCAGTCACTTTCTTTCAGCCCTAGGAAGGAGACAATGGCAAACCACTCTGTAAAACCACATGAAAAAAACTGCAAAAAGCACAAAGAAAAATTATTTTAGTTGGGACTGGATAGGTAGAGGTAGAGAGATAAAATATATAATTCATATAGTGAAGGGTGGGGAACTGTTGTAGCAAATGAGAGGTATGTATAGACAAGTGTGTGAGTGCACCCATACTTATCTATAATGCTCTCTTTTGGGGTAATGCTAATACTTCAATGTCAGAAGCACCAAAGGGCTTCCATGGTGAAAGGATTTGCCGGTGACATCACAGTTGCTTGGGGGGACACCCAATTGGGGAATCCTTTCTGGTTCCCATGAACCCACCAAAGTGGTACTCATTTATTTTCTTGCTGTTGTCTGCTTCTGAACTGCTGGGTTGGTAGGAGCTGGATTGTGTGATGGGAGCTAATCCCGCCCCGCAACAGTAATGGGTCTTGAATGCAGGCTGCCAATGGTCAGCCCAGCATTCTAACCTTGTGAGCCACCAAACTCTTGGGGTAAGCAATATTAAACAAACTGCAAAAAAGGAGTAAGAAATAGTACTCAAAAGAAATTAAAGCAGGAGGTTAGATAAAAGAAGAAATCATTTTCTTCATCCATTTTCACATTTTTAATTAACATTCTACCAAGATACACAAGTTCATTCTTTTGATCTAAGTTGTCACCATTCATGTACAACTTGTGTTTATGTGATTTCTCTATTAAATGCAACCTCTAGTCTTTGGGAATTATCACATCATGTAATCTGTGTCATATTTGTTAAGAACATTGAAATTCTCAGATGGCAACATGGTATTATCTGCATACAATAGTATCCATATACATGACCCCTACCAACACACTCAAGCATTCCTTCTTATTCCTTGTGTCTTTATTCCTAAGTGACCATTTTATTTTGTTGACAAATGTGAGAGATTGTGATGAAACTGGAAAAGAAAATGGAACAAGGGAAGGCACAAAAAAATCAAAAGCAGAAGACAAATTATTTGGAGGTTATCTCATAAACTGTAACTCAATCCTAGAGACAAGAAACCTGGAAATAAGCTTTTCAAATTATTGAAAGAAACTTTACTTTAATGAACTCACTATGAATGAGACTAACATTAAAAATAACTTATTGAAATGTGTGTAGTTCCTACTTCCTTGATCTTGCCCAAATGAATGCCACTAGACATTGAAGAAGACATTTTAAAATATGTCAGAATGAGTTTAAACTATAGAATATATGCCCTAGAGCTCATTACTTGTGTATGTACATCTGTGTTGGCATGTGGCAGGGCATTGGAGCTTGTTTTTGCATACTGTTCTCTAAAACAGGACTGCTTGCTTTGTTTGGTCTTCTGCAGCATTAAAAGAAAACATAAAATTAGATTTTTGAAAAATTGTGAGATATCCCAATCTTCCAAAATGTCTTTGTTGATGCATGCTTAATTCATGAAAAGTTAGTAAGTAAATTTATTCTTGTAACTATAGATCATTACATGTGCCATGCCATAAAAACAATAAAACAGTAGTGATGTAAATTATAATATTGTAAAATAAAGTAATAAAAAGAGTATTAGATATAAAAAAGTTATAGCAAGATAAACCCAGAGCTACAATTAAGAAATTAAGTATTTCTAAGTTTAAATGACAGCAGAGCAAAACTAGCAACTTGGTTGTTGATAGTTGAGAACCAATCCACAACAGCAAGAAGATTTTCAAGATCTGAGCCCTTGAGTTCACTTACCATCAATAATTTGGTCCTCATTTCGTTGTAAATGAGGTAGTGGAAGACATGTCTTTTATCTGACCAACATCACAAAGCAAAGACATTGTTTGACAGGGTGTCATGAAATGTTGGTGATTTCATTCATCCATTCATGATGCAAAATGTTATAAATGACACATTCCATATATAAGGATTACTGACCCTTGAGGTGCATTATTACTCCAATTTTTTTATTATTGAAGATATATTCTCAATACCAGAATATATCCAGCTACATCAGAAATAGGTTTTGTTTTGTTTCATCCAAAGGGCACATATTTTTGGAAATGTTTTGGCTTCAGGGGTCATGGGATGACTAAAATGGAATCATTATAATAGGTAAATGAGGACTTTAAGAATTCACACAAAAGAATTGGGCATTTCTCAGATTGTGGATTTTAAGGTGCAAAATTGATGTGAGTCTGATACTTAAAGAACCCATTTTACCCTATTAATTTATCTAGAAACATTGAAAATTTGAGCCATAGTCACTTGGAGGGTACTTTGGAAGCCACTAAATATGTGCAGGAGTGTTTTTTCTTACCTCTATGCTTTCATTTATATTATCAGATTATGTCAAACACATTGTGCTGGTAATACTTTTCTAAAATATACCACCCTCAACTCTACAGGAATATCAGAATAAGCTGATTGCTCTTGTTCCTGAGAAACAACAGTTGAGTGAGAAAATAAATCACAGCAAGATTAGTAACTCTTTTGGTAAGTATCATTGGCCTTATGTGTACATGTTTGTAAGAGTACATTCATTCAGGAGTGTTTTCCTCCCTCACATGAGGTACATTGGAAAAGGAGTTCTGAGATGCCCTTTTCAGTCTCTCAGAAAATTTTCCCATTCCTTTTACTGTGAATGACATCACCCACTCTGCGTAGCAATCTGTCTGTTTAAGGCAGATGTCTCCTATAGTTAGTCAAAGACTAAAATATTAATAAATTAAGTAAATACAATATATAGATATGTGAGTGCAGGGATGTGCAGTCAGTGGAGGCAGAGCCTCACCACTGTCATCATAAAAAGAAAAAAAAGGAAAAGGAAAAAGGCAAGAGCTGAGGTCAGGCTGAGCTAGTTGCTGCCTGAGTCAACATGGATGACTCTGCTTAGTGCTTAACTGTTTAAAAAAGCCTCTTAAAAAGTGCCCTCTACAGGAGGAGGCGGGAGAACAACGTGCCTCATCTAGTCTGGCGTTTTATGATCACTCGAGTAAAGTTAAGCAAGGGTTAAAAGCCGAAAAATTCCTGACATAGGTGAGGCACGTCTGAAATCCTCTCTGAAACAGCTGGAAAAGGTATGTGTGGGTCGGAGGGAGGGGGAGGAATTCAAACTTCATCCTCCTGGTGCGGGGCTTTGGGCAAAGGCTGGAGGGAAGTGCTCCCCCTCCCCAAGTGTAGTTTGATTTCAGGCAGAGCCACGTTGTCTTTTCAAACCTGTAATCAGTGAAGCTGGGCTGGATCCTTCCGGGGCTGGGGGAAAGTGTGTGTGTGCTCCAGTATGGCTTTTTGACTGGCTTCCAGCCTCCTCCTGTGGTTTCCCTGATTCCCTCCAATCCAACATTGTGTGTGTGTGTGTGTTTGTGTGTGTTTGAAAGAGAGTTTGTTTGAATGAGAGAGGGAAGGGAATAGGAGAGATAGTCCAATCTAACTTCTGTGTGTCTGTCTGTGTGTGTGTGTGTGTGTGTGTGTGTTTGAGGGAGGGAGGGAGGAAGGAGGGGAAGGGAGAAGAAAAAGAAAAAGAATGAAGGAAACTTATTTAGCAAAGGAGAAAAACAAATGCTGTCGCTTTAAATCGGAACTGAGCATGCCTGGCTGTGGAATTCTGGGAGTTGAAGTCCACAAGTCTAAAAAAATTGCTGCCTCACCAGCCAAATCACGGCTTGAATTATCTTGTTTTGCATGTAATGAGTCATATATTAGTTTCACCTTTTAAGTTGCTGAAATAAATGAACTTTTGCGCGATATTCTAATTTTTTGAGTTTCACCTGTAAATATTAAATATTTGGTCTTTCATTTGCAGATACACATCTAAATTCATTGCAGAAGAAATCATCAGAAAAAGAAGAATTATGCCAAAAACTTCAGGAACAACTAGATACACTACAAGAAGAAACCACTTCCAAGCTGTCAGAAATTGATATTTTTAATAAGCAGCTCGAGGTACAATTTTGTTGTAGCCTTTTATTTAAACATCTAAAATTGTTTATGTAGCAAAACTTTCTTTTCAATTTGTTCCTTTAACCAATCAAGCCCTATGTGGTATCTTCTGTTCATGAGATCTCATAAAAATGCAATTCGTTGATGATACTCAAATGCTTGCCCATTAAATCTCCAATTTGATTTTAAAAAGAATTAGTACCAGCATTTTGCTGGTACTAATTAGTACCAGCAGTTTGACCCGTTTACACCAAGATTCACATGGGTATTATTTTGCATATTGTAGGGTAAATTAATATTATTCAAAGTAACATCCACTAAAATAATGAAAGTGAACCTTGGCATAGGAAACTAGATGAAAATAAGATTTGCAAATACTCTTTTTCCTAATTAATAAAAGCTTATATATAATGGAATAAGAACAAAAGGCCAGCTATTTCACTCAATATGTTCATTATTTAAGACACACCAAAGCAGTTTCTTGGTGCAAGTGAAATTAATATTACACCATCTATTTTCCATCCATTCAGCCACAATGAAAATTGGGAATATGCAGATAAGGGGAAATATGGAGAAAACAAAAAGCTTGAAAAGTGTGAGAAAACCAAAAATGTGTACAAACTGCAGTTACTAAGCTTACTTCTAAACAAAGAACCTATTCCATGTTCTTTTTATTGGCAGTTAGGTTCTCCACTCAACCTCTTTCCTGAAATAGAAGTGTGTTTTCAAAATGCAGAAGCAAGGGCTTAAGCTACACCTGAAATCTTCCTTACCTGGATTACTTAGTAGTAATGTCTTCTTTCATTTACTGTTTTCTGTCATCTATCAAAAGCCATGATTGCAGCATGACCGAGAGCCTGATTCAAATCTCTTTCAGAATCAAAGGTTATGAATGGAGGACTTGAAATTGTCCTTCAACTGTCAAATCCTGGGCAGCAAATGAGATGTATAAGTAATTTAGTGACAGTCTTCCATGCTACATTGCAACATATTTGTGTTTAAATTATAAAACATATTCTAGATACATATACATGCATATTAATTAGAATATGGAGGGCTGGCAAAGCTATAATTTTTTGTGTTTAAGATAATCTTGGGAGTGCGGTGATTAGTAATTTCCTACTTAACAATATGTGTCTGAAACCTTTTCACGCAGCTGATAGATAACAGAGTATGCCTGTAAATGTAACAAAGGGAAAAGTCAGTGCTGCCATCACTTTCCATTCTTTACTTTCTTGTTTTCTCCCCTTTTCTAAGTGGACAGCATAGGCAGGTGACATAGAAGAAGTGGCTTTCTCTTCTCAGTTACATAACTGAGCTCTTTGTGACTGATTAACATTGGAGGCTTAGCCTAGCCAACTATAAGTAGTCCTTGCTTAATGACTATAATAGGACAAACACTAACAACCCAATCATTAAACAAGTAACCATGTGACTGCCACAGACTAACAATCTCACTCCTGTCACAATTGTTAAATGAGACATCACAAGACTGTGACTTGCAGTTTTATTGCTTTCCAATGACTCTGCTTTTTGGAATGATGATCCTATAACTTTGGGATGCTGCAGCAGTCATAAACACTCGTCTGATGTAAAAGTTCTGAAACAGCGATCACATGACTGTGGGGGTGCTACAAGGATTGTAAGTGGAAATACTGATTGTAAAACTACTTTGTCAGAACCGTTGTATCTTTGAATGATTACTAAACATGGCAGTCATTAAGGAAGGTCTACCTGTGAATCATATATGCTGTAGAACAGGGCAACTTAAAGGAGATTGTAAAGGAGCAGCTGTTTGGTCTGTTTCATGAAATGCTGTAGTCAAGAGGATTGGACCATAGTTCCTGACCTGTCTGTTCTGTCTGAGTCAAGGAGTAGAGCAACAAATATAAATGAATACCCTGCTTTTTTTTATTGCTTCGATCAGGCCAAATCCATTGTACTGCCTGTTTTCACTGTAGAGCTTACATGCAAATACTGTAGAAAGATGTGTATCCCAAGTACTAATCCTTATATTACAAAATAGCACCACTTTATCTCAAGCATCAAAGGGATCAACAGTTGAAGATTCCCCAAATTGTTTATGCATTCTATGGCATGCTTCACTTATTGTGGGAAATGAGAATAGAAATGGAATGACCTATGCAGCTGAAGAAGCGATGGCTGAATAGGAACATTGCAGAGGACAACAGTTTATTGTTGATCCGATTTATGAACCATTAATATTACTAATTTTAGCTATAGAAGACTCTCTCACACACACTCTCATTCACCCCTCTACCCCTATGGGTAGATATGATGAGAGTTGAATCAGAACTTTGATTGCTAGATTAATTATTCCAATTCCTTGTCATAACCCTTAAATTCTCCACTTTCACAACAATCCCAGTGAAAAGTTTAACTGCTTTTTATCTGCCTTATCTTACAGTGTGAGACTATGGATGCTTCTATTCTTCAGTGCCTTTTATATCTGCTAAGCTGTCTCAACAACCTCTTCCTCTTACTTAAGGTTATTTTCTAATCTTTGGCCTTTTTTTGCTTCTAATAATTTCCATGTTTTGTGTGTGTGTGCGTGCGTGTGTGTGTTTTTAAAAAATAATTTGCATTTCTATAGCACTTGAAATATTTTCCTATGCAATAATTTGGTGCTCTATTGCAGTAACAGATTTTATTTGCCTTCTGCTTGCTTTTAAATTCTGTCCACTAACTAAATGCTTTCAATTATGGGAAAGGGTAGGAACAATCCTCATGTCACTGCTTTTAAGCAAAATCCTTAAAACTCACATAGTGTTTGGTGGATGGATTACTCTTTACCAGTTTATCTGAAACAAAGTCCTATCTGTAAAAAGATTGTTATTATTTTGTCTATTTTAATTATAGAAAAATACTTGTCTATTATATATAACGAAGGAAAAGTATAAGGCCAGAATTCCCAGAATAAGTAAAAAAAATATTTTGTGAAAAACAATCTCTACTTCTCCCCAGCAAAAATCCACTGATAAATATAAATGCTTGATTTTGCCTCAAGAACATTGACAGAAAAAAATAATAAATTAGCTAGCGTTCTGAGTTACACTTGAAGAAAATGGCCTGCTACTTTCTTTTTAGATACCAATAGTTATAAAATCAAAGGAAGTTGGATTCAGATCATAAAATCTCAAGACTATATATTCCTGGGAGAAAAAACTTGTGAAATTACAAAGCCCATTACATATTGACTTGTTCTCCCATATGTTTGGCTTTTTATAACAAACCAACTGCCAATTAGAGTATCACTAAGGCAAGCTTTATATTTTTCAGAATAAAAATTTTAAGATCTTTGTTCCCCCATAGATTATATCTTTAGACTGTTTTCAGAAACCCATTTGATTACCCCTTTGGATCCAAGTTCCATCCCACCACAACTGCTGCTGAACATGCTATACATAGGATCGTCTTTGTTTGGCTTTTCCACGATCACAATGTGACAATTGCTCTGGTACTTGCATACAGGCTGCCATATATTGCCTTCATCTTTTTCCAGTTTCCCCTTAGATCAAAGAGAAGAAAGCATTTCCAGAGCTGTTGACGTGGAAATATAACAGTATTGGTCTTTTGTAGCAAAACAATAGTGTGGTATGAGATTTTATAAATCATTGCTTCAAAACATGCACTGAATATTATTCTGAAAAAGAACCAAGGGAATTATAAAACAGAGAAGTCAAGGAGAATTGAAATGCAGGGCATACAGACAGTGATGTTGATAATTGTCATTAGCCGTGCTAATAAATGTGTTAATAAATGTTTTTTACCCAAAAAAATGGTATTTGCTTAAAATCATAGATTATCCAGTTGAACATTGTGGATTCTGACTTTCATTTGTCTTTATGAAGCGGGTCTTTGTGTAATCATTCATTCACAAATAATCCCTTTGAGAACAGTCACAGAGTATCCTGAGAAATACCAATATTCATACTTTATTCACAGAGTAACTGGTCAACTTATTGTTTTTGGAATGTTGCATAGTATTTCTGATAAATAGATTATATAAGAAGATGAACAAATATATGAATTCCTCATATTATCAATATAATGTGTGAATAGTGTTTGCATCCATCACAGGATTTGTTTCCTGTCATTTTAATTCCAGTTTGTTTTAAAGTTTTATGGCTGCTTTCAAAAAGTGCAATGTTTTGATACTCTCTGATGTTTCATTACCCAAACTAGGTAACATCATCAGTGCGAGTGCTTCAATGCTTCACTAGCATTAATGTTGTAACCTAGTCTGGGTGCAAGATCATTAAGAAACATCACTGGCGTTTGGGCATGGGAAAGAATATTCTATCTGTCTATTTAGTATCAAAGCATATCCAGAAGACTCAGAATGATAACTCCATATAACAAGAATAAGATAGGATTGTGCTAGTCTATAACACTGTGGAAAGGGTGTCCTGCCTGAGGGGCACTTATTTAGAATGGGATGGGATTTTTTCCAGGCTGAGGTCCTTTTTTCTTGTGCCATTGGTAATATAAAAAGAGACATATTTGAAACAAGGGGTATCTTATAGTTTCCACTGTTTCTGCAACAAAGCAGTTTTGGAAGGTGGGAAGCAATCTAACTTTTCCTATATGTATGATGGAGAAAGGCAGCTAGGTACATGCTGGATATGTAAGGAATGTTCTTCTGTGTATGTGCAAGCACAATTTTTGAAAACTTGACCTGGTACTTGATTTGGGCCTGAACCATGAAGCAATGGTCTGAAAGTAAGAGCAAAGGATAAATACAAGATTGTTTTTATTTTGTACAGTTCAAAGTGACATTCCTCACAACAACCCAGTCAGGTGGATTGGCCTGAGAGACAGATATTGGCTCAGTCATTCAGCCAGTTTCTGTGCTTAAGGAAGGACTGGAACTCCCTCCAATGTCTTAGTTTCTAGTCTAGCATGTTAGCCACTATACCAGAGTAACTCCCAGATTTTGTAATTTATCTTGATCGTTTAACAGTTGGTTTGACATTTGCTGACAATGTCCAATAGTATAATAAAGTTACTTGATAATCATACGGCTGATGTGTACTAAAACAGTCTAATGTTCTGTACTCAATAATGATATTGTTATGTCAGTATAAAGGGTAATTGCAAGAAAGTGACTTAGCCAAAACTGGCAGAAACATTCTACCCAACTCAAGTAATTGGCATGCAACCTTCTAACACTGAATTAAATAGGATTATTTACAAAGAGTCTCTCATTATTCAGACAAAGCATAAGATACCAAAAGGTCTTGAGAATCTTTGAGGAGCCTTCTACACATTGGTGTTTCACATTAAAGTTTTATGATTCCTTTCAGTAATTCCATCCCCAACTAGTGCTATAGTTTACAATTTATGGAAATTATGGAGAATATGTAGATATAGTAGTCTTTTTTTTACTTTTGGTTGATGGAGAACCTTTGCTTGGAAAATTTCCCATTACCTTATGGAAAACTACTTAAATGTAAGTAGAATTAATAGTTCTCTCATTGAATCAGAAAAAAAAAAGGATGAGAAATACACCCAACAATATGCATGTTGTTAATGAATTTAGCAAACAAAGTGAATGACTTTGCACCAAGATATGCAAGATCCATGAATAGACAACTAGGGGCAATTTCTTGGCAATTTCTACTTAATGGTGCTGAGTGTGAAACATTACATAACTAAAGCAAACCTGATTTGAAGATTAACTGATTTCAGCAACGCATGTCACCTAAGTATGAAAACGTTCATTTATTTTTTCTTCAATAATTACTAGAGAAAAGTGAGGCACTGAAAAGAACCATTTGAAAAGTTCATTGAAGAATGTGATGACAGGTCAGAAATGTAGGGGGAAATAGATATGAACAGTTCAGTTACTAGTTTCTTTTCAGAGACTTTCTGTGTTATGTTTGTGATATTGGACATTATTTTAAAAACTCAGAATATCAATAACTCTGTAATACAGTCAGCCCCTTCATTGTATGAAATAAGGAAGGAAGGAAGTATAATCTTTATTGTCATCATACTTAAATACAACGAAATTGGTTTTAACCTCACTGGTGCAAAAGTATAACAGAAACGAAAAAAGAAAGAAAAAGAAAAAAAACTAGCGTATGCATGGAGTGATTGTGGTTGTATTTAAAAGTCTCACAGCCCAAGGATAGAAACTATCTTTAAACCTGTTTGTTCAGCTGGCTATACTTTGATGTCTTCTGCCTGATGGTAGATGTGCAAAGAGACACTGACCAGGGTGTGAATCATCTCTGAGTATCTTCCTTACTCTGCAAAAGCAGCGAGATCTGGCGAAGTCATCCAGTGGTGCCAGAGGGCAACCAATGGTTTCTTGTGCTGAATTGATCACTCTCTGTAGTGCCTTCCTGTCCGCAACTGTTAAACCAGCATACCATACTGTAATACAATATGTGAGGACACTTTCTATGGTGGACCGATAGAAAGAGGTCATCAGCCATTGTTCCACCTGATTTTTTCGCAGGACTCTAAGGAAATGACAATTCTATGGCTGCTAATTCAATTTAATGTTCTCAAAAATGTAGGAAAGGCCTTAATAAAAATAATAATTCTCCAATTCCTGTACCAATAAACATGTAGTAAAATGATAAAGTAAACATACATACATACATACATACATACATACATACATACATACATACATACATACATACATACATACAAATTTTTAAGGAAAATTGGCTGATAAAGGCAAAAAGAGGGCACTAACAAATGCCATGACTGCCTACTCCTCTGGGCTTCCCGCACAAGCCTGCAGAGCCATGTTATACCTCCTTTTCGGAAGACCAGGGAATCAGGGCCTGCCTCACCTCTGGGGAGAGAACATTCCATAGAGTGGGGATATTGTCAGAGAATGCTCTTTTCCCAAACCTGGAAGGAGACTGCAACATACCTTCCCTGCCTGATCAGGTGGGATGGGCTGATGTAATATGAAGCCAGTTCCATAGGTAGCCTGGCTTCATGCCCTGTAGGGCAGTATAGATCGTAACTAACACCTTGAATTATATTGTTTTTCTCCTTTTCATTTTGCTGTTTGTTATTTAACATTTAGAATAATTTTTGTGACCCTTTTCAAACAAAGAGAAATAACAAAATATTCATGCCTCAGCAATTGAAAATCATCTCACAGTTTAGGAGTTAGAATGGAATCATACAGTGTTCAAAGTGTTGGCAGGTATCTGTGATATCATATCAGGTAGACTGAGAAGCCTTCTTCCCCTGCTGTAGACATCACTACAAGGCTGTAGCAGTGGTGAAGAAATGTAACTTTTTGCCATCGTCATTATAGAAAATTGAATCTAACTTATAAAGTAGGGTATGCACATAATAAGTGATTAGAAAACAATGTTCACTGCAGCAGTTTTTGTGCACATTTGCAAAACCATAAAGAATGACTTTAAATGTTTTTTAAAGGGCAGTTTAAATGGTATGGAGGGCCTCAAAAGCAAAAATAAACTAAAATAATTTTGTCTTGGTCTATATGATTGGTTGGAAACCTGCAAGAACATTTGGATTCAGAGTATTGAATGGAATCACTTCTCTAAAATCTGCTTGCTTTTTTGCTTTCTTAATTTTGTGTTTTTTTAATAGGAACTAAGAGAAACTTACTGCACACAACAGAAAGCACTTGAGCAGCTCCACAAAATCAAACATGAAAAAATTCAAGAACTGGAAAGAAAAAGAACTGAACTTGCTTTGAAAAAAAGAATAGATGATGAGACTGCACGGTAATGTGTTTAAAGTATTTCTAATTTTTCCTCCAGCCCCTTCATTTTATTCTTTGTTTCCTATCAATAGGCAACAATAAATACAGAAACTGCATTTTGAGAGTATGCATGCTAGCATTTACCACTCTTTACTGATTACATTGCTGTGACAAAATTAAAATCAGGTTTAAGTTTTTTTCTAACATTCTACATCAAAATACATGCATTTTAGTAAATAGTACAGATTAATATTGGTATAACCAAGACTGCATAATACAGGTGAACCTAAAACCTTCTGAAGGCAATGAAAAGAAGCTGGTATAAGGTTCACATCAAGGTGTTTGCTACTCATTCTTGCTTTTCAATACTAATACTAATATCAGAATAATTATTTTTGTTTCTTTTCTATCTTTCAAAAGAAAAGCAAAACAGGAAAAGGAGAACTTGTGGCAAGAAACAATCAGGAAGGAAGAAGACGAAAGAAAAAAGCGTCTGAAAGAAGATCGAATGCAGGAAAAGATCCATGAGGAAAAACAAAGAGCTGAGGAGGCCATTGCACGAGAGAGGGAAATCCAGAAACAAAAACTGGCAGATGAGAAATTTGAAGAGGAAAGACAAAATAAACAAGTAGGAATTCTAAGAGAGACTGAGCAGCAGAGGCAGAAACAAAAGGCAGAAGAAAAAAAACGACAGGAGAAAATTGCAAAAGAAGCTGAGGAGAAACTTAAACGATTTGAAGAAGGGAAGAAAAGAAAAGATATTTTTAATTTGCAAGATTCTGAGAAATCTGTTTCTCTGTTAAATGAGAAAAACATAAATGTTCTTAAACAAACAAAGGGAAATCTTAAGTCTGCCCTGAAAAATGAAGGTAACTGTTCTTTTTTTAGATGTGAGTAGTTTACTTTGGATTATTCTGTAGTTTGAAACAACATTTAGGATCCTGAGATGGCTTCCACTCTTGAGATAGGACTGTCCCCAAAAGAGTCCCTCATGGATCCTCCGGTCAGATAGGAGATGCTGTTTTTTGCTGATTTCCCCTTCTCTTTGCTCTGAAACCTTCTAATGAGGACAGGGGACTTTTATGGAACAGTAGTAGTTACCACAGTAGGAGGTTCCTGTGTATTAATGGAAAGTCTTTTGTTATGCACAGACATTTAGATCTACCAGGACCTCTGATAGCTGTCTACAGTGTCTTTTGCTGTTCCTGATTGGTGAGGAAATAGGAGTTTAAAGGGATGGCAACTTTTCAGTAGTAATTATTCCTGTGTATTTGGCTCTTTCCAAGATTTAAACAAGAGGATAAGGTTGTGGGCTTGCAGAAATCCTCACCTTCCTAGAAATAGACTTTTGAAAAAGCATTTATCAGGAACTAGCAATCAATTAATAGTATCTCCTTGACTCTTCAGGCCATGCAATTAATGCTGCTGATTCTAAGACATCAGTGGGCTTCGTGAATTATAGAGCTTTATACCCATTTGAAGCCAGGAATCAAGATGAGATAAGCTTCCATTCCGGAGATATTATTGAGGTAAATTATCATTTCTGAATACTAAATAAATAGTTAGTTTACTTAATCCCAAATAATTTGTTTTTTTCTTTACAAAATGCACCAACTGACATGTAGCAGAATTAAAACATATTTATAAGCAAGTAAAAAAATATTAACATTACATTTGATAATTTTTTCTTTCCCATTTCCTTTCCAGGTTGCTGAGAAAACTGAAGGAGAACCTGGCTGGCTATATGGAAGTTTTCAAGGACATTTTGGGTGGTTTCCATGCAATTATGTAGAGAAAATACCTGAAAATGAAAAACCTGTTTCACCTCCCAAGAAAGCCTTACTTCCTCCTACAGTCACTGTACCACCTACTTCAGTTCCTCTAGAGTAAATATAAATTTATGTATTCAATTTATTTATTGACCGGCTGGCTAAGAATAATAACCCAACAACACAAACACACACAAACACACACACACACACAAAGGCAATCAGCAGCTGAGATTTAAAAATAACCATTGATACAATACAAATATTTCAATAACACTATTTCACAGTGAATGCACCAACATCACAAATTTTTAATTTGACTTAATGTGAGAGTAGCTGATCTCTGTTCCATTTTAAAAATGTAAAAGTATTTCTACTGTGTTTTGATATTAAGTGCTTCTTGAATTAAAATGATAGCTGTAATTGGAGGATCCATCTACATGAAAAAGTTTTCCAAGTTGATTTCAAGAATTTCTCTCTTTCTGCACAGTAAGGATTCCTTAGCAATTGCAGAAGCTATGAATTATAAAGCATCCCTATATGTCCTTTCTGGGAGATCTTGAAAGTGTTTTGGCTAGTTTGCTGTTTCACCTATTGGGTTTTATTGAAAGTAATTCCCTTATGCATATGTTTTGATCTTGCAGAGTACATTCACCCAGTAAACCAGCAGATGAAGCAGATTACCAAAATGTATCTTTTGCAAATTTAAATACTAGCTCATGGCAGAAAAAGTCTGCCTTTACTCGCACTGTTTCCCCAGGATCTGTTTCTCCCATCCATGGGCAGGTATGTTGGTACAGAATGGAACTGTTGGCACAGGGTTGGGAGCATCAATATGCCAAGGACATCAAAGCACATTGGTTTTATACTTTTGGTGTTTTATATTTTTGATTTTGTTATTGGGGAGCTTGTTTTACTTTATGATGCTGTTGTTAATGGCCCAAAGTTTTTGGGAATGAACAACCTACATATGAAATACATAAATATGTAAATAAATGAAATATTATATTGCTGTAACCATCTAATTTGTAGCATTCATTTATTAAAGTGCTCTATATTCTCTTTCATATAGTATGACATTATATGCAAGAAATACATAGTGGTAACCTGCATAATTGGCTAATTGTTGGTTTATGAAAGATTACTCTGTCTACCACACAAATTTTCAAGGTAGTTTACCAGAGCTTGTCCTGCTTGGTTCTATTTTATTGAAAATGTTCCATAATTTAGTTGGAATTTGTAGCAAGACAATTTTTAAAAAAATATGTATTTATGGACCAATGTGTAGGGAGATTCTCAGTCATCCAGGTCATTGTTGTCCCAAAGGTGCTTTTTCAAGAGGCAACTGGACTTTCTTGTTTTTCTTTGAAGACATTTTGCTTCTCATTAAAGAAGCTTCTTCAGCTCTTGTAATTATCAAACTACATTATCCTTAAAAGACACTTTTGATCTATTTTAATAGGCAGTTTAAAAGATGGTGGTAGATATAAGTATTCCTATTTACGTGGTAGAGTTATTCATTTTCTCTAGACTACGCCAAATCAATTGCAGTATATTCCAAATATGCTTAGCTTCTTCCAAAGTAGAGCTGCTAGTTTGTTTTACATTAATCATTTGTATGTTTCTGAGGTCAACATATTTTAGTATATATTTTGTGTCTTTAAAACTCGCATGGCTGGCATTAACATACTACCTACCTTTGACAGGGACAAGTGGTAGAAAACATAAAAGCACAAGCACTTTGCTCTTGGACTGCAAAAAAAGATAATCACTTAAATTTTTCAAAAAATGACATAATTACTGTGCTGGAGCAGCAAGAAAATTGGTGGTATGGGGAAGCTGGCAAAGGAAGAGGATGGTTTCCCAAATCCTATGTGAAGATTTTGCCTGGAAATGAATGCCAAAGAGATGAGTAAGTAAGGCTGTCAGAATATTTGAACTGAAACAATTGGCAAAATGTGTGTGGTTTGTGTAGAAGGTGAATAGAAGACATTTACTGAGATTTGGAGGGATTCATATGGACAATCTCTGATTCCCCACAGATGATTTTTCAACACTTTAAACTTTGCTGGCTTTGAATATTACATTTAGAATTAAGAACAGTTGCACAGATCATTTTTATTCTGTTTTTAACTGTTCATATATTATATTCCCAAATTTTTGGATAAATTCAGAATTTTTAAAATAAAGTTTGAAATTGAGAAAGATATTTGGAAAAAATCTTTTACCAGATCAGTGGTTTTACCTTGACAAATACCATCTTCACACAGAACTTAGAATTCTCATTTCCCTTCCTTTCTTACATTTGTGTTCTTATTAATGCCTTCTGCTGATGGGTTTGTAGGAAATCACCCAACTTTAAACCATGGATTCCAGTGATGGCTTATTTTAACAAATCAGAATTATGGTAATATTAACACCAAAGTATGGCTGGTGTGAAACAGATGCTTCACTTTGAATCCACCCCAAGGGTAGGATGGGGAGGGCTATATGAGAAGAGAAAGAAATGAGACTCTGTTTCATCATATCCAGTAAGATTTGATGAATTGATACTTTCCCCTATTTTCAAGGATCTCTAAGTTTGAATAATTGAATATGGAAAAATAAGTAACTTAATTATTTCTTCTGCAGATCAGAAGCTGTTTATGCAACTATAAATAAGAATCCTTCCACATCAACTTGTGTTTCAGGTGAGAGTAAGATCTGCATTTAAGCACTCTCAGTCTTTGAATGAATGTATGTGTCTCAAGGAATAAAGAACATGCATAGTACTGCAGTATTTCAAACACCCGTTACAACACTATCCAATACTATAAATGTTCTGAGATAAATATTTGTAATAATAAAGAGAGAAAATCCTTTTGTTCTGGTCCCCATATATTTTACCTGCAGAGTGTACTTTTTCTCTGAATACTTTAATAAAATAATTTCATTAAAATGGTTAAATGCAGGTTAAATTGTGACACGTGATAAGAAATCAGCATGCTGGATTTGGAGAAGTTAGCCTAAACACCATTCAAACCCTCATCTGCTAACCAACATTGACTTAAGTGAAGTATAAATTTGCTTTGCAAAAGTGATGCTACACTTGCAAATACCAAAATGTGCAGTATATATGTATGTGATGAGGATATGTTTATATCTTTCCCTCTATTAGTAAGCTATACTACAAATCACAGTGAATAGCATCATATTTGTAATTGTCTGCCGTGCTAGACCTGAATACATGAAGGGACACTACACACTGCTAACGAATGGTGTAAGATGTCTGAATGTGAGAGGAATACGTTTGTGTGTGATTAAGCTATTGCAGTATTACATTTTGACTTTGAATTTTTCTGTCATTAAAAAAGGTATCTATAATTTCCTTTGTTGCCTGATGTTACCTGAGCATTAGTCAAAGATGTTGAAGTAGAAAGGATTATATGAATCAGTATTTTACAATCTTTAGTCATATACAGCTTTACTACAAGACTGAATTTTTCTCTACCTTTTCAGAATATATAGCACTATATCCTTATTCAAGTTCTGAGCCTGGCGATTTAACTTTCATTGAAGGTGAAGAAATAGTAGTGAGTCAGAAAGATGGAGAATGGTGGACTGGAAGAATTGGTGATAGAAGTGGAATCTTTCCTTCCAACTATGTCAAACCAAAGGATCATGATGTAAGACTTCCAAAGTGTTTTGCTTTTAGGGTTTCTTTTTCTTTTTTCTTTTTTTTGCAGTTAGAGATGCAGGATTTCAAGATGAAAACCAAGACTGTTACAGGGATACTGGTACAAGCCCAAGGAAATGTAATACTAAAGAATTCAGCTTTGTCTCAGAGAATAAATATTGCTGTTGTTGTTGTTTGTTTTGTTGTTTATTATATTTATATGCCGCCCTTTCCCCCCGAAGGGGACTCAGGGCGGCTCACAACTCAAACCAGGGAAGGGGGATACAGACAAAAGATTAAAAAATGACACATAACAATGCATAATTTAAAACACACAACAGTCATACCATTCGAGACGGGGGCAACAGCTCTTTAGCCCCAGGCCTGTCGGAACAGCCAGGTTTTAAGGGCTTTGCGGAAGGCCTGGAGGGTGGTGAGGGTTTGAATCTCCACGGGGAGTTCGTTCCAGAGGGTCGGAGCAGCCACAGAGAAGGCTCTCCTCCGGGTAGTCGCCAGTCGACACTGGCCGGCGGATGGAATTCGGAGGAGGCCTAATCTGTGGGATCTAATCGGTCTAGTGGAGGTAATTGCCCATTCTGATGGCACTTGTGGCAGGGCATAAAAGGCAGGGAAGATGGGAGGAGGCAGAATTTGTTGCAGAAAGGATTGGTTTTAGATTTTCTAAGGTTGTGTGGTGCTTCAAAAATAGGTACTTGCAATAAAAAGGGGGAGAGCTGAAATTAAACGTAAGCTCCCAATTGTTTCTTCTTTTTTGTAGACTTCTACAGCTAGCAAAACAGGAACATTAAATAAAAAACCTGGTAAGTATTACTGATATTTTTGTGTTCTTATATATTAAAATCATTTATTTTACACTAATACATATTTCTCTTTAGAAATTGCTCAAGTTACAACAGCCTACACTGCATCAGGAACAGAACAGCTAAGTCTTGCTCCTGGACAGCTGATTGTAATTTTGAAGAAAAATTCTAGTGGATGGTGGCAAGGAGAACTACAGGTAATAGAGCAGGAGGTTCCTCTGACTGTATGTCATGTTTCTTATATAGATGAGCAAATTATGTCTGTAAAAATACTTTTTGCTAAAAAAAATATTTTGAGCAAAACTGTATTTATTTCAAGAAGAAGAAAAAATCTATAAAAAAGGAGACCTCATTGGTTGGTTGGTTGGTTGATTATTGAAATCAAAAGAAATATACAGTAGTTAAATATAAATGAAAACAAGAAGGAATAAGCATGTAGACACATCAAGCACTTAGCTACTAAAAACTAGATCTATATCCCTCTTGCATCATCTGCAGTTGAGAAGAATTTAGCACTCTTCCTCCTTATGAATCCATAAGTAAAAAAAGAACACATTTTCTTAAATGTGCCCCAAAATATATGAAACATAAATCTGAGACCATGGTTCGTACATAGGGCAGAACAATGGTGGGATTCAACATTTTTTACTACTGGTTTTGTGGGCATGGCGTGGCTTGGTGGGCGTGGCTTGGTAGGCATGGCAGGGGAAGGATACTGTAAAATCTACATTCCCTTCCCACCCCACTCCAGGACAAGGTTACTGTAAAATCCCCATTCCCTCGCCACCCCACTAACCTGCTTTCCAGCTCTGTTCAGGGCAACAGAAGAAGACCCAGCTGATCAGCTGGGATGCCGATCAGCTGGGACTCAGGAAGCAGTGAATTGTTGGGGACAGAGGTGGCATTTGCCTGTTCTCCAAACTACTCAAAATTTCCACTACCGGTTCACCAGAACCGGTCAGAACTGGCTGAATACCACCTCTGGGGCAAAACAAGAAAACATGAGATATTGATTCTCTGAGCAGAGGTAAAAGTACACAAGTAAAAGGACATTAGATTTTGCATTGCTAATTGTGTTTTTCAGGCAAGAGGGAAAAAAAGACAAAAAGGATGGTTTCCTGCTACTCATGTGAAACTGTTGGGTCCCAGCAATGAAAAGACTATGCCAGCTGTTCATCCAGGTGAGCAATTAAAAGTTGTTTCTGATTGGTGGCTGAGTTCATACCTTATGGTAAAACCAAAGTGCTTTTTTTTTCCTAGCTTAACATACTGTGTGACTTCATCCATTGTAATTTGTAACCTATAGTTTATGATTTAGATTCATGTGGAAACCCACGCAATTTTGATATATTAAGTAAACTACAAATTCTTATAGTTTTAGGTGCAAGTCATATAATGGGTATTATTTTCATTTTTATTGTGGTAATATTTTGTTCTTGGTATTCATTTCAATGTAGTTATTTATTTAATTTCTTTCTTTGATTTCTTAGACTTCCCTTCTCAATATGTAAATATATTGAGAATATACGTATATATTTATATTTATTTTCTGGTTTCTCTTCAGATTTTACATAAGACCATTGATATATAGAGTTACGATAAAATCATATAATGCATACTTGTTTATGCATTGTAGCCAAATTATTTGAATTTTATAAAACTTTGGGCTTTGTACTTTATGAAGAAGAAAAAAACCAAATCTTTATTCTGAGGGGCAATCTATAAAATGAGAATGAAAGTAAAGCAAAATAAAGACAGGATTAGACTAGGAAGTATGTGTTCTATTTATTCATGTTTGAAATTACTTGCATCAGAATGTGGGACATATATTTATTGAATTTGTTATAATTAATATAATAGAATCTTTGGAGGAGACAGTATATAAATAAGCAAGTAAATTTAGGAAAATAAATTAACTTTCTGAATTTAATCAAATTTAGTTAAATAAAAGAATTTGTTTTAAGAATTAATTGGAAAAAAACTGGCATTATTTTTTCTACATTAAATGTCCTAAGCATTTGTACTATTTATTAAGATGAGTAATAAATAAGCAGGTAATTTTAGCAATTTATAATTGGCAAAGCTTACCTTCACAAATTATGAGTGCAATTGTTGCTTTTTGAAAATTGAAAGTATATTAGTAAATGTTTTTTGCCAAAACTTTACTTTCAAAAAGAAGACACCCTTTACCTTACTGCAATTAAGGGTTTTTTTATAGTCCTATACTTCCGTGATAGCTTCTGAATTGAGCACAGAATGGTCAGATCCACATTTGCTGAGGTAAGGCAATACAGAAGTTGGAACTTTTCAACTCAGAAGCAGAACTGGGCCATTGAGAATAAGATTGCTATTTCTGAATTAGAACTATTTTTGATTATAAAATGTAAATATTTAACATGCACAAAGTTAAATAGTTTTGTAAATTTCTATGGAAGGATGGGGATTTTCGCAAGTAGTGAAATAGTTACTGTTGGTGCTCCTGAAGAACATGTCTCATATTTTTTGTTTCTATTAGTGTGTCAAGTGATAGCAATGTATGACTACTCAGCAAACAATGAAGATGAGCTCAATTTTTCTAAGGGGCAGCTTATAAATGTAATGAACAAAGAAGATATGGATTGGTGGCAAGGGGAAATCAATGGCGTTTATGGCCTCTTTCCTTCAAACTATGTGAAGTTGACTGTAGACTCTGATCCAAGTCAACAGTGTAAGTAAAACTTGCTTAAATATTCATGCTTTGGTATGGAATAAATTCAGATACTTCATTCAATATAGGTGTGCATTTGTATGGTCATGTCCATTTCTTCAATAGGAAAATGCTGAGTTATTTAGAACTGCAAGGCTAAACTAATGACTAAAATAGTTTAGTCACTGAGATACATTGCTGTGGACCTTGTGCCTTTTTAAACATGGCAGAAGTTTTTAAGGAAATTGTTTGGAAAGTTCAATTAAATATCCATCAATTTTTTAACACCTGCTCCCAATTATGTTATTCTGAACTCTTCCTGTGAGTAGTGAGCTATTTGAGTAAGAGAGCAATAGACTGATTTTATTTATGTCTGGTACAGTCAAAAAATTCTCAGTGGTTCATAACTTCTACAAACAATATAATAAATTCAAAATAACAACATAAATAACATAATCAAATGGGTCTACTGCATAGATAAAATAATATATCCTAGTCCAACTTTCCTCAATAGAGTTAAATCTGGATTATTGCCTACCTTTTTTAAAAAGAAAGCATCAAAGAAGTTTTTCAATATAGGCTTCATAACTTCCAACCTCACAGATCTGATCTGTCAGATCTTTAAGATGGACTACCATATTTTTCGGAGTATAAGACGCACCTTTTTCCCTCAAAAAAGAGGCTGAAAATCTGGGTGAGTTTTATACACTGAATACAGTATTTTTTGCCCCCTGAAACCTCCTGAAAAGGTTTGCCTTTTCAAAACCTTGGTGCATCTTATACTCTGGTGTGTCTTATACTCCGAAAAATACAGTAAGTCAGGAAACAGACCCTACAAGGATTCCAGGCATGCTACCTTATTATTGTAGGCTTGGTTTTTTGTGTCATCAAGTTGTTTACTGGCAACTTTACTGCAGGTTTCTTAATGACATTTTTGGTAATGTTTGCCCTAACCGGCTTTCTAGGACTGAGGGAGTGTGTCTGTCCTAAGGATCACCTGACTGACTTCAAGCCTAAGACAGAAATAAAGTCTCCTGGTTTCTAGTCTGGTGCCTTAACCACTATACCAGACTGAACATAAAATAACAATCCTGAAAACTTATAAAAGTTTCTCTCTGCCCATTTAGTACCAAAGAGAATCAAAGTGAAGTTATTTTGAGTTATCTTTGTACTGAAGTTAAAGCTCTGACTTATTATTCAGAATATGCAGCTCCGTCATTTAATATTTCTTGACATCAGTCTTATTAATACAGAGATTACCAACTTTTCATTACTCTGGTTTCCAATTATTAAGAGATCTGTGTTTTGCCACAGGATGGAGATGGTTTTGAAGCAGGATTTTATCTTTTTTTAAGGGAGATCAAGAATTGTTCTAGTATAATTCCATATGTAGCCTAATATAATTAAAGTGCCTGGTAGAATCTAATTTGTATAAATATAGTCTTATGTCTCACCTTATGAATAGCAGGAATAGTGTTGGCTTCAACATTCACTTTTTGTATCTTCCCTTTGACTTTTGCTTTGTTTACCATTTGATCAATAAAACATGAATGCTTGCTTTCTGTTTTGTGATTGTGGTTTGGCCTAATTGAAATATTTCCTTGATATGGAATTTGGATTATTTCCTATATGATTAGAATGATTTTTCTAGCTTTTAACACAGCTAACAATGTAGTTCATACTTTTAGATTTAACATATTTAACAAATTGGGCTGCACCATAGTAATTGGATACGCCAATGTTTTATGTTGGGATATTAGCAAGATAAGGTTTTCTGGAATTTTTAATCTTCCTCTAGAAGGCCAATCTCCTATTTGTGGATGGACCAGATTGTTATCCTTTAGAGCAATTGCAAACATGCCATTTGTCTACATAGGGACAGTTTCTAGATAAGAAAAGTCATTCCCATATCATAATACTGGGTTTTTGGTTTGTTTTTTATGCATATACCAAGAAGGAAGTTGCTGTAAACAAAATGTCTCTGGTTTGTATATATTATGCAAAGTTAGTAATTACTTATATTCTACCCTAATAATTTGGCTTGTATGAACTTCAGTGTTGGCATCATAGTTACTTCAAATTGAAAACCTGTTTCTTAGAAATATGTAGTTATTCTAGCAAAGATTTCAGTGCTCTCCCCCCTCCCTTCCAGGTGCACTGAGTTTGTAACCCTATTTTTCTCCTCTCTTCATATTCTGGTATGAACATAGAAAGAGTTGGTAGCATATTTAATGCAGCAAAGGTCTGAGTGCTGACATGTATTGGAAGCCTATAAACAAACAGAGATACACACACAAAAACACACACATGCATATAAATCTTTAATAAGTGTAGTTTTACATTCTGTGTCCTGTTTCCAAATAGTTTTAAATTATCAGAAATATTTAAAAGGATATTAATTCTGTCTTTATAATATTGGTTATTAAGACAGTACTGCTTCTTATACATTTCATCATTTTCTACTATAGTTATTTATCCCTATTTTTTTTTCTTTTCTTTTTCAAGGACCCACTGTTGTCTTCCAGTATGAAAGCACCTCAGAGACCCACTATACAAGTTTGACTATAGCATGGCGGCAGGGTGGACAGCCTGCTCAGATCTCTGAAACGATTTCTTTGCTTCGCTTCAGTATTAAATCCACTCAAGACTTCACGTTTTGTTCTATGATGTACAATTACAGTTTATTTATGCAAACTGATTAGTGGGTCTTTGTGTGGCTTTCTGCACTCTCCAATCTGGTTTTCTCTACTCTCTTTATTTAGGACCAATAATGAATTATTAGAATGCTAGTCCAAGCTATCTCTTGGCACAATGCAACTTTAGGCACACAAAGACCTACTATTTGTACTGTCACATGGGAAATTGTGTTCTCATGATTAGCATCATATGTTTCCTATGTTGATCTCTCACTATGCACTTCATGTATGATCCTGTACACAGTGACAATGCTATTGTAAGAAAACAGAGCAGAGATAGAATAAAATCTGTTGTGTTGTTTTAAAGGCACTTTATATCACTGTTATGTCTATATATGTTATATACTAAAGCTCGTTAGTTTCACCTGAAACAAATATATAATTTGGCTTTTGCTACAGAAGTTGGAATGATTCTGCCCTAAATATTACACACTTCTTGATATGTTAAAGGAGAGAGTAACCATTTTTTTAAAAGCTGGACAAAGTTTGTTTTTGAGAGAAACTTCTTATAGAGCCTTGCTGAAAGTCTGAGAAGCCTTCTTCTGTCCACCCTCCCTTCCCTCTCATTGGTCCTGATACTTTGGGTGGTGTCAGCAAAAAGAACCTTTTCAACTGTGGGAGACTTAAGGGAAGTACCTGAATGCTGCTGGCATTATCAGCCTTCCAAGAGCATTTCAGATCCTGGTTGTGAGGGAAAGGAGCTTGTTGCGAGAGAGGAGCAGGATTGTAGGTTTTTCAAAATTAAAAGAAGCCTTTTGAGGCCAGATACCTTAAGATCTTTAGAAATAGCATGTTATTGCATTCCAGTTTTTTGTGCCTAGGCTTAGAAAAAAAATCCTCAAAAGAACACTATATTATGACAGGTTAATATTGGTCATAATGTAGTGGGCAAGGCTGACATTTTTGGCTCACCCTCCCTCACCCTCCAATTATTTGGATTTAAAATGCAAATTAAATATATGTTTTAGTTTTATTTTCAAGAAAAAATATAAAAACACACCACTGATTTTTTTTTTTACTACTGCATTGTTTTCTGGGAATTTCTTAGTTAATAATTGTTTACTATTAACCAAACTTTTTGGTTATTTTTTTTTCATGGCACGACAAAACCGCGCTCGACTAAAGCGCGCCCGATTAAACCGCGTCACTGATGTCATCAACAGGGCGACAACAGTGAGCGTGGAGAAAGAAGGGTGCTTTAAATAGCGCTTTGAAAGCAAGCCGATTCAAGTTAAGGGTTAGGGTTAGGTTAAGGGTTAGGGTTAGGGTTAGGGTTAGGTTAAGAGTTAGGATTAGGTTTAGGGTTAGGTTTAGGGTTAGGTTTAGGATTAGGTTTAGGGGGGTTAGGTTTAGGTTTAGGGGTTAATTTTAGGTTTAGCGTTTACAGCGTGCTTTTTTCTCCGCGCTGTTGTCACGCTGTGATGACGTCAGCTACGCGGTTTCGTCAAGCGCCCTTTAGTCGAACGTGGTTTTGTGGTGGAACCATTTTTTTTCCCATTCTCATTAACATTTGCATACATTCACCATTATCATCTCGCTTCATGGTGCCTTTTTGAGCAGACAATCAAGCTTTTTTTCATCCCTGATTGTAGCCCATATCCATTTGTAAAGGTAGCCTTGTCCTGCCTGCTAAACTGTGCTAGACGCCTTGTATAGCTGTGCTGTGTTGCAGTCGGAGTTAGTTGCTCTGTTTTCAGGAGGTGTGTTTGCATGTGAGCAAATGTTAGGTGGGATTTGAGGCTCTCTGGAGTGACCCAACCCCCACCCCGTTGGTTTACAGACACCAGTATGAAAATTAATTCAGTCTTTAGATTGAAAGAAGTTTCCTATTTCTTCTGTACAAGATTAGATATTTAATTTGGAGTGCATATCCATTTTTTTCAATATTCTAAGGGTGTAATCCTAAAATTCTTTAATGAGTGATTTATTTTAGCACCATTGCCTCACAGTGCAGCCTGTGCATATTTAGTCCAAAATAAGCTATTGTGTTCAATGGTGCTTCGTCTCTGATAAATGTGTTCAGAATCGCTATTTAAATGAATATAACAGGCTTATCAAATCACTGATGCCTTTATTAGTAAAGTATAGTATAGTACGAAATAATGGATTGTAGGAGGGGGGTCTTTCATACCAAATATAACAGGTGCCTAAATCAAGTTATAAATACATATTTATCTTATCTGTATATTATTATTATTAACAATAGCAGATCTGCAAATAGCTCAATCTTAAGTTGATGATTCTCCCATGCTAATATTTATCATATGACCTAATATGTTAATCAAGGCACATGATGGTCTTTTCTTGCAAAGCACAATTGTAGTT